TTATTATTATTATTATTATTATTATTATTATTATTATTATTATTATTATTATTATTATTATTATTATTATTATTATGTAATTGTTAAAATTTTGAAGTAAAAAAACAACAAAACGAATGATTACGTGTTTATCAAAAACTGCATATACTGCGTCACATTACTGCGTCCTTGTGACAAACTCAACAATACGTATTACAGTGAGCCTACGCCCTTGGAGGTTGATTGAACGAAATTTTATTCAATCGTAAATTAGTTTCATTACGCTTATTGATTTTAAACTAATGTAACGATCTAGCGCATTGATATGTTTGAATAATTCTTTCTAAACTGCTTGCAATTTACAATCGGTAATTCAACACTATCGTCAGCTTCATTATGTGCGTATCTGAAATTTTGCAAACTGTTTCTATTTCTCTATTATGGACATCGGATTTGCAACATGGCTTGTTGTACAAATCATATGAAAATCACGGGCGTGCATATTAATATAGAGTCAAAGCTGGCTTATAACGAACTTTGGTTATAACGAAGATCTGTTTATACGAAGATTTTTTCCAAGCCAATTATAAATAGTTATAATCTTAGCTATAAGGTGACCTTGTTATAAGGAATTTCTGGTTATAAAGAATATTTTCTCTGGTCCCGTAGAATTCGTTATAACCAGTTTTACTGTGGTGGGAAACGAAAAAAACGTGCGATGTAGAATATGGAGGGTGTGCATCAATTCCCTAATTCCCGAGCTTGGGAATAAGCCATGGCGTGCATGTATGGAGGGTGTGCATATATGGAACGTGCTTATATGGAGGGTTCACTGTACACCCGCCCTTGTCACCTTGATATAGTATTCGATCGATGAACTTCCTGAAAAGTTCTGTGGAAAGAAAGGTTTTGTTACTGTCAAGCATACAGTTGAAGCTGTTTATAGTGAATCCGGTTAAATGGAACTCTGGCTGTAGTGAACCAGACGCGAAATTTTATTAAATTTTACTAATAAATTTGTTTATAGTGGCTGTGAACTTGTTGTCCAAAGCCCAAATCGAAATTTCATATGATATTCCCGCGCTTTCTATTGTAGACTGTCACACAAACATAGCATGGGAAATTATTGTATGATTAGGCCATTGTCTAAATTTTAGTTATAGTTATTATTATCAGGTAACCAGACTGTAAAACAATTGCAGAACAATGCTAACATTTCAGCAAACGATTATGTTCACGTTGAAGATGAGAACAATTGGATAATCCTTACTGATGAAGATGTAATAGCAAAAGTGAAGCTGAAATGGTAGAAAGCTAGAAACAATAAGTTGTAGAACGGCCAGTATATCAATTGACAGTTTTAAAAATTTTATATCAACAAGGACCAGAATTTGGCGAAGTTAAAATGATCGAATAAAAAGGCCATTGTTGCACATGTGTATTTATGTCACATGACATTAATTATAATGAATGCTAGCTATAGTGAACCAAAAGTCTCGGATCGGAATGGTTCACTATAAACAGCTTCAATTGTAGTACTTTCACCATTATACCGCAGCTAGGCCCTGAAACCACAGAAGAATTGATTCCAAGTGCCAGCATCTTTATAATAACTACTCGCAAACCTTTTTAGTCACATCACGTGAACAAAGTATTTTCGCTATGCGTTAAAATTTAAGTTTAGCGTTGCTTCTTCACTCAAAAAATGAAAACAGATAAATTTTAAATAAAAGGAAACATCAGTATAACACAAGCAGATGCCATTGGTGGATGACGAAGCCTAATTTTCACTGTAATAAACGTTGGCTGCAAATGCCGGATTACGTTCTGCTCCGCTAACTGACAAGAGTAGAATTACTGTGCGCCTATATACACCAAATTTCGTAGAATATTCTTCGCATACTATTTATCAGACACACGTACAAAGTGCTATTGGGATGAGTAACAAACCTACAATTTTGCCAACAAAAACAAATGCAAACAATACGCGTCCTAAAGAATAACAAACTCTTGCAAACTGTACACTGTCAAAATGTCACCCGCATTTATTATTGGAATTAGACTTGGTCCCTTACAGTGATACAATTTTTAGAGGCGGAAGACTTGGGTAGATTAATTTTAGGTAAATGAAATTATCCGGACGAAGATATTGATCGTTTTCTGAGAACAGTCACATGATTAAGCGTAGTTTGATTGTTGTTTAGTGCGACTTTAATTACGAGATTGCCATTAATGTCAATACTAGTTAATTAATTTTTTTTCTCTTCGGCAACCTTGCATTTCACACACCTTGTCTGCAACCATGTCTGATCACGTAGCCCACGCTCTCGCTGGTAGGCAAAATGCGTATTGAAATCGCATTGTAATAGAGTTATTGTAACAATAGTTGTTTCGTAGGTGTCGGCGGAGGAGTCGTTTCACTGTTCTTGACATACCCATTGGTTACTATAAGTCAACGACTACAAGTACAAAAAGACTCAAACAGTAAAAGAGCATATAAAGTACATTTTTATTTTGCGGGGGGCAATTCGTTCTTATTTGGCAAAGTCGACGATCGCTTTTCAACTCTTTACTTTCAACTTGAAATTTTTTACATAGAACGGACGACATGCACTTCGCAAGATTTACAAAGACGAAGGCGTCCGTGGATTATACTCGTACGTTCTATCATATTTGTCTATTGGCATTTGTCACGCTTGCATTTTTATAATTATACGCTTAAATACTTTACATTATTCACAGCGGTCTTAATTCAGCCGTTTTCGGCATTGCGCTAACGAATGGTTAGCATTAATCAGTACCTGAATGTATAAATAGTCCTAATGACGGAATGAATTCCATGCTTATTTACCCTTTTATTTTGACAAGTATATACCGTTCTCTTGTTCTCATATTCTTGGCTATCTCAGGCACATATTATTACTTTTACGAATGGACCAAGGACAGATTCAAGAAGCTTTCAAAAACAAACAGACCGATTAACGTATTTGAATCAATGGCTGCTAGTGCAGTAGCTGGTGCTTTTACTGTATTGATTACTAACCCTGTTTGGGTCGTCAATGTACGTAGACGTATAAATATGAATATAAAAAAGGTTTGCTTTATAAACCGTATTAAGACGTTATTGTTTTCCTTTCCCTCTCCCCTTCCATTTCCACTTTTAGACGAGAATGACAACTCGCAAGGATTCCCTGGATGCTGATCCCTCAACCTCATCATCGGCCGCCAAATCAAGACCAGCTGGAACCATTGAAACCGTATTGAGAATTCTTCACCATGACGGTGTCTCGGCATTCTGGCAGGGGGTTGTTCCGGCTTTGATCCTGGTTATAAACCCCATCATTCAGTATACCGTATTTGAACAGTTGAGGACATATTGGAGAAAATTTAAGAAATTAGGAAATTTTGACTTTTTCTTATTGGGAGCTATTAGCAAATTGGCTGCAACTGGATTGACGTACCCTTATATGTAAGTGCCAATCTATTTTGTAGTCATGGAACATGTCTCTGGTTTTTATTTCTGTCATAAAGTTCGGTAAACATGAAACCCGTTTCCTATCACAAAGTCGACTATTTCACTTTAATAGATGTGTTCCATGACGACAAATGTAGGGATGGGTTAAAATAATCAATTTTCACTTACTGTCTCTTCACCGATCATTTAGTGTCGTTAAATCTCGCATGCAATTACGACAAGACGATGCGACTGTCCGGTATAGGTCTACTTTACATGGACTACGTGAAATCTATATTCACGAAGGCATTTCTGGACTATATAAAGGCATTACATCCAAACTTCTTCAATCAGTATTGACAGCCGCATTCTTGTTCATGTGCAAGGAGGCTTTATTCGAGTTTACCGTTAGTCTTCTCACAAAGATTCGAGCAAGGAAAATTACTAATTAATATAGAATAAATTTTGGCCGCGGGGACACACGTAAATTATCTTCCAACAAACTATCACGTGTTTCTTAAAGGATAGTCATGATGCGACTTGATACTCCTTTTATCTTTAATGAAACTCTGATTGTGGCGGTTTTTGGGAATATTACCTTTAATGAGTAGAATACATATTATATTCTCGTATTAAAACCATTTTTATTTTGCAAGACAAGGGCTGAACACGTGAAGCAATTAGAACAGAGAGGTTTTGTAACGCAACTGTCATCTCAAATGCGGCAACATTACAGAATCCTCAAATTAATCATTTAAAGACGAAAGTAGAAAGTGTTGTGATTACATTGTGATGCCATTGTGATGTAAAATTTTTTAAATATACCAAAATATCTATCAACATTCAGTGTTGACATAATTCGATTGTCCGCGTTCACTATCAACTCATGTGAATTGATTACTATCAATGATGATAACTATCTACGTTCGAGAGTCGTGCGATTTGATGTATATCGCATCTATATCTGGTTCTGCCCACTTTGACATAGCCAACTACAACTATGTGACTTCTGCAGGCGTATGTACAAACGAGTTCCCAAAAATACATCTAATTAGTCTTTAGTTTTTTCGGTTCTTCTCCTAGAATCTTCCCTACCCTTTCAGCTACTTTAGGATATCCCCTCTGCTCAATATAACCCGTGACTTTTTCTCGTCCAAGTCCAAGAAACTCGGACACGACCAGTCGGAGAAAGCTTTCCAATGGGCCGAACAGATTGAGATAGTAGAGGATAGTCAAAAGCATACCGATGAACGAGAACAAGATGAGATATGTAGGGGAGAAAAGTATCGACATTAACTCGTTCCAACCGAGGGCCACTTGAAGAAGAGATTGCAAAAGATGAAAGCGTTACAACTTGATTTCGATAATAAAACATCAATTTTAAATACGCAAATACTTACGCATGAATAAGTAGATATAGACTGGAATACGTGCTTGCGTGGCAACAACCGAACGCTTGGCTTCAAGGTAGAATGCATCAGATTCACGTTTGAATCGCGTTGTTAAATCGTGTTGCCTTGTTTCCGAAATCACAACTAACGTCTCCTCAAAGTTCATTTCCTAAAAATATCAATTCGGTTACATCTAAAACTTGGAATGTAAGAGAAAACAAAAAACAATGTCACGTACTTCGTCGGATGGCACGCCCAAGTCCATGTCACTCGGGAGCTCAACTTGAGCAAACAGTGGAATCAGTTGTAAAGCCTAAACAAGTGTGAAAAAAAAAATCAATTTAGCATTTATTATAAACATTTAATGTATTTTGACATTCATCATAAATACTGTGTAAATGTACTCGCCTCCTCGCGCGCTTTTCTGAACGGCGTGTCAATATCATCTTCAGGTTTCCAGACCTTTGGAACACCCGCATCATCATATCGGAATTTCTCCTCGAATCTGCAAAAAGATAATGAAAATAATTATGAATGCGTTGATAAAATGCCAATTAAATCACTGCTGCGTCGTTCTGAGTAATACCTCTCGCGCAATTTAAGTAAAAATACATTGTCTGCAACTTCGTCGTCAATCTTTTTCCGCAACATCTGCCATGACCTCTTTCTAAAGTTATGAATGGTTTGGGCATTTTCTTCTTCCGTTGAATTAAAGCCTTAATACGAAATGGCAAAGATTTAATACATATTACAGAATTTATCACAAATTTTGACGCGTATGTCATCAATAGCAGCTACTTACTCTTGGCTTTCTTCAAAAGCTGATCTTCGATGCCGTCACGAATGCTCTTGTACTTTGTAAGAATCTTTGACCACATTTCTGGAGATGGTTTATTAAGATACAGTCCAATGTGCTCATTTACTTGATTCTCGAACGATTTCTAAATATAAATAAGAAACTATTGATTACTTTGTTCAAAGTCTGTAAGTATTCGCTTGTTTTCACATACCTCTAATGCTTTCACCATCTTCTTTGTCTCTTCTACGCGAGATCTGGCGGCTATCTCGCTTATCTCTTCTTGCAACTGAGAATAGTCCTCGTCAAACGCCCAATCGGTTTCGGTCAAGACAATGGCTTCAAATTGCATATTTATTCGGCATATATTACTATAACGATTCTTAAAAAGCACTACTGCAAAAGTTATATTCTTACCTTTAGCTCCTTCCAAGAAAAGTCCTTCAGATTTTTGGCGTGCTTCCTGGACTACTTCTGCAAAATCATACTTATCACCCTTAAGTCTTTCCTGTTGTAAACGGTAAAGTTTCAGAAAAGCGCATACCAAATCCTATATTTTTAGCATCGAAGCGTGGCGTAACCCGTTTACCTGAACTATGGTCTTGAACGTAGTTAACGCTTTCTTGGTAAGATTCTTCAATTGGCCGAGATAGAACACGTGTAATGTAGAATTGGTCTTGTTGAGTATTTCTGCGCGCTTCCTCTTGTAAACCTCAGCGTGATATCGGGAAGCATCCTTGTCGAAGTGCTCTGTAATGGGAATAAGACAGATTAATATTTTGTTAGTATTTTATAAAGTAATCTTTCAAGCCTAAATGAATAGACAATCGATAACATAAATAATGTGGTGTCAGTTTCACATACTGATGGCTGTATTTCTAATCTCTTCCATCTGTGGACCGAGATCTTCCAGTACTTTTCCGGATTCAATTGGCTGCCTGAACCCTTTAATCTTGGCCGAGAAAGCTTCAAATGCAACCTAACGGGAAGAGCGGTATTAAGATAAAACGTTATCAATTTGATCATCGATAGGAACAATTACCACGACCGCAATAACTTACGCCGGCAATTTCGTCACAACGATATTGTGCAAGTAATTCTTGTTGAGTGGGTAGATCGAGATCTTTGTTGGCCATGATTTGATCCTGTAAATTATTGGTATTAAGTAATGTCCAGAAACTGGTTCCCGCTGTCATTCCATACAATTTGCAGATCGATTGCCCTTACCCAAATTCCTTCAGCGTAAACATGAAAACCATCAGCCGGTACTCTCTTGCTGTAATTTGGTTTGAATACAAAATCCTTGTGATTGGGATTGGTAAATCTAAAATAAAAGAAAGGAAATATCATCGAGTTTGCAAATGACAATCGATAATATAAAAACTAGTCAACTTTGAACGTCTTATTCTTGCAGTTACCTGTCTCTTAGTTTAAGAGCTTCTTGATCAAATTTTTCTGGAAGCAAAACCTTATGTGGTAAACCTGTGAACATTGTGTCAAAATAGTCGCTAATCTTACAAGACTCTAATCCTTCGGGCTGTTAATGGAATAACAAGGTAAGTGACTTAAAAAACGATGGTATAACTTTGCTCTCTGACAGAGTCTGTGCAGCCTACCTTTGCTACCCCATCCCAGATGCGCTCCAAGTCTGCAGTCAATGTAGCGGAGAGATTTGCCAGGGGGGTTGTGCCAACGTGATCTCTTATGACGAAAAACAAGAGTGTCTTTTCTTTTCTACAATTTGACGACGTAAAAGTTACCAAAGATTAAAATAGTAAAGTCTATTGCCTTACTTTCGTGCGTTGCATTGATGATTCTTACCCTCTTGCAGCTTGGAATAATTGCAGATTGACTTCAAATACAGTCTTCAATAGTCCCATGTTGGCCCCGTTGTATAAACCCACTTGATGCTCCCACAGATTGACGATGATAACGTTGGATGTAGCCATTGAGAATAGAGCACTCTTTCTCTCAAAGTCTTGATCCTCGCCACGTTCACGTCCATCCGTTCCTTCGACATCCATAATCAATACATCCATATCTTTGCCACGACTCATCCAAATGCCTGTATTATAAAACACACGTTCAGAGGATTAGCTTACGTAAAACACGTAAACTATATTTTTATACATTTGTATTCACCTTTTGTTGTTTGGCGTCTTGCTGTTTCGCTCATTACATCGAAATCAGTACCAAAAAGTCGATTGAGTAGAGTACCTTTTTGGAAATGAAAAACAGAATCAGTATAGTCGTACACGTATTATTATTCATGGTATTCGCACATTGATATAAATACAGTATAAAGGCCATGATGAGACCATGTCACTATTCACCCCTGCTGAATTACACGTTGATTTTTCCTCCATATTGTTGGCTACTTACTTTTTCCGGTACTTTGGGAGCCAAACACTGCAACCAAGTTGTAATTGAATCCATGCTCAGCAAGATGCCATTCATCTTTCATGAATCGTTGTAAATCTTTTCTGTTGGTGACATCATAATATAAGAATTGGTTTATCCCACCAAGGTAAATTAAATTATATGGAATAGACGAAGCGATACGTACGAAAAGTTTTGGTTTCCATCGATAATTTGTAAACGAGGCAGTTTCTGATTACCGTTCACTGCGTTTGTATCAGAAGCTGTCTGATTTGGTCCCACCGTCATATTGTAATGAAACTATTGACAATACACCCAACTGTATATAATTTGTATGTGTGTGTATATATATATATCAGGAGCAAGTATTACAAAGACTATACACGATACGCCCAACGCACAAAATAGTTGCTTGTGATAAATTTTGTATGTACAAGGTGATTTATAATATCCTACCAGAGGGAAAGTCGGTAAGGAATGGTTTGTAAATTTCAGAACTTGAACTGTTCGCCTGAGTAAAAAAGAGGAGTGATAGGGCGGGGGTGACAATCAAGACAAAGATACGGTCACGTTACACCACATTGTTAAGAATGCAGAATAATAGCTATTATAGAACATTTTACATGATAACCGGATTTGTCGTATGGGATGTTGGATTATGTTATTGTCACATGAAATCAACATCTTGTATGAGTTACTGATATGGGGCATGCTTGTAAATGAGCGTTTGGTGGCTTGGCTTTAATAATGGTAAATATGTGAGAAATACTGTAAATTCGAACCTTTTACGCGTACGCGTAACTCGTCTAGTTCAAATGCCAGTTGGTTCATGTCTTTGTCTGACACACTCTTTGCACCGCCAATCCTTTTTACCGGCTAGATCTTTCACTAATACTCATCCGCAACTTCCTCAAGGACGTTGTCCACTGGTCATTGATTGTCACAGTGGTCGTTACCAATTCTTGTGTCGCTCAAAGCCAGCTCTGTTGGTCCTAGGCAGTCTCATTGGCATACAGTCATTACTATTATTGCATTCTAGGAGCCGTGACAGCACATACTGGCCATGCTTTCGAGTAGAGGGGAAATCTATGTACTGAGTAAGGCCGGAATGCTGTTCTTCAGAGAGCTGTTGCTCTGACATGTATCATGATACAGTTGATCGATTGCTTTTTATCATCAAAGTGGATGCAGCAGCAGAACTGCCTCGAAGCTGATTTTTTTTTTTTTTGCGTAATGAATTGCGGTATTGTGCATGCTCTCCGGAAAAGTCATGTGCGATTGCATACAGATGCACATGCGCTAAATTGTTTGATTTCGTTGAGTGCATGGCAAGCTTTTCGTGTTTGTGATGGCTTTAATGACGAATCGGATGTATTATGTATATTATCACGCGGGGTCGATCGATCGCACAATTTTTACCAGTAACACTAGTAAATATATTAGGGGTCTAAGGGAACGGTTTCCGTCTTTAAATACATTTCTGTTGTTGTAATATGTATTGGTCAATTTTCCAGTTTAGATGGCGAGATGCTGAATTGACTATTACAAGTTAATTGCGCACTGGCCATTTTGATCTCCTTAGAGATTTACTAACCGTATCTACGTCTGTATCTGGCAAGAGTAATGATTAATACATGTAGTTATTTTGGCATACTGTTTTAGGATGAAAGGTGGTCCCAACAAATTACACAACGATTCGCTACAAAATGATCAAGAGGACTACTTTACATTGTGCCGGCCAGTACGAGTCTTATTACATTCTCTTAATCAGAATGTGGTTCCCATGCCTAAGACTGTGCTACCCAAAAATGGGAAATATTGTCTAAAGATTATTAATTTAGAAGAAAACTATTATAAAGATGTAGGCAGTCTAATTTACCAATATGGTATTAGAATAACATTCTCAGCATTAATGCATTCTTTGATTCTACTTGTCTGCTATTGCATTGTTATCCAAAAATACTCTTTCTTGACTTGGCTTTCTTCCGAGGAATATCTTATGAGCTAACAAATAACGACTGTCGTTAAATACAAGTCGATGTTTATTCTTCATACCAACCGCGTTTCCGATATATGCGCTGCAATGTTTATAATTATGGTTGATGGTGCAAAAGAAGCTTATGATCGGGGAACGAAACATAACAACTGGGTTGTGTTCTTCATCTAAGAATATTCATATATCGACGATTTGTCCAGTTGCTCTAGTGCGCAATTATCGTATTATTTCTATTGTCGTTTTATTAATACACGATTTCAAGAGCAAGCCATGCCAAGACAACTGTGCTACTTCTTTCAATAATTCTATTGGGGCGTGTAGCTCGACTGTTATATTCTGATCAGGTGATATTATAGAAGTACTGTAGCTCATATAGTCGATCCGCTTCCCCCTTTCTCGTATTGTCCTTGTCTTTGCACTTGAAATTATGTCGGAAGATTCAAAACTTGAAAGGTAACGGAATGCTGTATTGGGATCGATAACAAGTCTATTCATTAATCATTTAAAAACCTTAATTGCAGTTCAACCCAATCAGTATCTGTAACTCAGGAATCTACTACTGTTGCCCAAACCACATCAACAAACGATGATGGTGTCGGGATTACTGCTCAACAGACAAAGGTGATCACTGACAAGACAACCACCGTTGAAACCACCTCTCCAAGTGGACAATCATGGGTCACCGAAACAAGGGAAAAGGTCGTTTCGTTTGTCAGTAAGATTTTCCCCGCATCATTAAAGGTCGATAGTAGTGTGATTAGAGAATTTGACAAGTTGGATGACAAGGCCAAGCAAGCATTAAATGATCAAGCGAGGTATCCCGAGCTGCAATGGGACGCCAGTGTCAGGTAAACGAAGAACAAGCAGTATTCTGGTAAATGATACGCTAACCGTATTAAGCAATGATATTCACTTTAAAACGTAGATGTTCGCTTGACATCTGTGATGAAGAGAAACAATTTATTCGCGCGAGAAAAGAATTCATTCGCGACAAATTTGCTAAATATATTGGAGTAGACGTCGATGATGTTCACGTCGATGATATACCAATTATTGGGTTTGGCGGAAGCGGTGGTGGATTCCGAGCCATGATTGCTACAACAGGTAAACCTTTTTGTTAAATGTCAAATCCATGACAATAATATTACTAACGCGTTTTTTACATAGGCTATGTTTACGGTCTGCAAAAGAGTGGATTGTATGATTGTGGTACATACTATGGAGGTATGTGACTATTGGCGTATAATTGTGTGGTTATCCATGGCGTTATTATTTATCCTTGTATACACATTTATTAAGGTGTCAGTGGAAGTTGTTGGAATCTAGCCGCACAGTACACTTCCATCATTTCGGAACAAGACAATCCACTTGAAGTAATATAAGAAAATAATTGGTTAGAGTAATTGAGAATGTAAAGACCAATTTGATGCGACCTTTTGCTTTCATCTCAGGCACTGATCGATCATTTTAAGAAACGACTCGACCATCACATTGCCAATCCACATGCGGTTATTAAATCTCTTACGGCTACCACATCGCCTGAACAAGCCGTTGAATTGGTCTTTGGTGGTCTGGCTCAGAAGAAACAGACGGGACTGAACACGGGTATCATTGATATCTACGGCGCGTTATTGGCTACCAGACTTTTGCTTGGCAATGATCCAGTAAATCAGACCAGAGATTTCAAACTGAGTGAGCAGAAACGATATTTAAAAGGCGGAAAGCATCCCATGCCAATATATACAGCGTACGTACCAAAAAGCATACTCGCTTACAAATATATTATTATACGCGTATACACCCAATAATATTTTTTTCGGCCAAACAAAGTTTACATCATTCTCGGCCTTGGAAGGATTTCCTCAAACCGGAAGACGCAGCTCAAGTGCCCAACTACAAAGAGGTGTTGAAAGAGCATCAGAAAATAAAGGATCATTATCGATGGTTTGAATTTACTCCATTCGAGATTGGTTGTGATGAGATTCCCGGTTAGTATATAAAGTCAGTAAGCTCTTTTAATATCCAAATGCAAAACGGTTTTAACGTGTCAATTATTATTTTAGCCTTTATCCCGTCTTGGGCATTTGGAAGGCGCTTTGAGTTTAGAAAGAGCATCGATCGCGTGCCCGAGCAGAACTTTGGATTAGAGATTGGGTAACGAAATATATCTATGAATTACTTGTAGTCTATACGAATATAAGTTAGGTGAACTTTACATTTTCTTCATAAAGTTAAAAAGTTATTATTAACATTATTATCTTTTGTAGTGTATTCGGAGCTGCTCCGTGCGCTCCAATAATAATCGATATTCGACAGATTGAACACGTTATACCAGAAGGTTGGCTGAAAAATACTTTGCAAAAATCTTATGATGGAGTAAGCAAAAGTCATTACATCAATATTTGCAATGTTTTCCCATGCTCTCTTTTTTTTTTCCCGCGATTATCACCTATTTCCAACTAATTTTTTCACTTTAACGCTCGTTTCTCACATTAGGTGATGGAAGATATTGGCGAACAACGGCAATGGAAATTCGAGGGTCATCACGTAATCCCAGAGGCCAACAATCACAACTTTTTTTACCATCTTGACCCACCGCCGTACAAGCTTGGCACAACAAATTCACCCATTCTCCATTTCATCGATGCTGGCGCTTCTAATGATCTTCCGCTTTACCCATTGACTCATCCCGGGCGCAAAGTAGATATTATAATGGGATTCGATTCGTCTAGTCAAATCATTGAAAGTAGCTTCTTTGAAGAAGAACAGAAAATCTTTACTTCTCGGCGTGGAATCAACAGTACCAAGCGCCAAGATCTTTGTAGCAAGTATCTGGAAGTCTATGATTATGAGCCAAATGGAAACGCCCAAGATGGATATACTCCACCAATGACGCATCCGGCTACTTTTCTGTATTTACCTTTCCTACCAAACGATAAAGTAGACCCGACATTTGTTCCCAGCACCGCTAAATTCTGTGCCTTTAACAATTTCACTTATACTTCAGAGCAGATTGATTTGATAGTAAAATTGGCACTGCAGAATTGGAGCGAAGTTGAAAGTACAGTAAAGAATGTTATCAAAGGAGTGTGGGAAAAGAAGAGAGCCGCTAGACTTGGACAAACATAACCAATATTTAATCGTCTAAACATTATTCATTACTTACATATTTATTTACAGGCGTTCTTAGTAAATACATTTCTACCATTCTATTATTTTTTCAACAACCATCGCAATAAATCTTAGGATTTAACTTCCTGTGATTGTATTTTTTCCAATATCTTGTCTACATTATTTCGGTATGCTTCTCCTCCATCTTCTTTTGAATACTTTTGCAAATGCTCTGGCCATACGATATTACGCATAATCTCATCGCTTATATGTCCTTTTTCTACTCGAACTACCGAATACTCTTTAACCAATCCTTTTGTTATCAGCCACACGGCGTCCGCATGTCTCTCAGCAATAGCCTCAAACAATTCTGTCACGATATTCTGTATTCTCTCGTGTTGTCTCTTATTTAATAATGGATACATTATATCCATCAGCTCGAATAACATCTCGCTGGTTAATTCTACGTTCTTGATAGTAATACACATAGTACTCAGAATAGATACTTTCATGCGATGACTAATCGAATATTCCCAGGTATCTATCACGTCGTTGCTCACACCTTTCCCTCGTCTGTCCATTAACGTCTTAAATCTTGGCCACACATCATCAATAATCCTACGCATAACAAAATCACCACTTGTTATCGCGATCGTCTCGATTACTTCTGCAGCCGCGAGTACTACATAATGTTCTCCATCACCCAACCTATTCATAATCAATGGCCATAAGCGATGAACCAGCGGATTCAGCTCCTTAGGAAGTGAATAAAAAACAGGAAGAGCCAAGCGGATGATACAAAGTGCCGTGTATCGAAGATGTGGCGACGAAGCAGGAAGAAAGTGCACAAGTTTATCAACAATCGAGAGTGTTATCTGCTGAGACTGTGTTAGAACCGGGGTTGCCTCCTCTGGAGACTGCAAAGACTCGTTGTGATTCGCTACGCTGTCATTGTTGAATGCATCTTGGTCTGTTGAGAGTTCTTGCGATTCTCTTTGCCGACGAATGTCGAGAAAGTATTCACCTATTTCATCAAGTGTTGCTTTCTCTGACGGAAGCAGACGGCATGGCGCGTCTGGAGAGTATGACGCGACAAAATCGGCTATTTCTGATGATATTGTTCCATATTCAGTCGTAACTGTATTTCCAGACGAATTCACTTTTTCGCTTGTCTTATCCCTATTATATTTAGCGTTATTATTGATCCGTTCCTCCTCCTCCTCCCCCTCCTCAACATCAGTATCGATAGTCTTAATCCACTCTTCCAACACACCATCGTCTCCTTTCGTATCGCTGGTACCCTTACTATCCTTTTGCTCATTTCCAACGACCAACACAACATTCTCAAGCACTCTCGATAGCCTTGCAACGATTTCTTCATCCAAATTCCATTTATCCATTTGCGTCAATATATCTCTGACAATATCTTCAATATAGAGTAACACGCCAATTCCCCCAATCTTGACAACCATGCTCAACACATCAATCACTTCCATTTCTTCTCGCAGCTTCTGTAACTTCCTTGATGCATCGTTAATAATATAATCAAGATTATCAAGAATGAGTTCAGATGGAGAGGCATATCCGCACTCGTAAGAGACATGAACCAGGGCCGTCTGGGCTGTACTTGAAACAAGCGAGTGTGAAGAGGTAAGTGAAGAAAGAATAGGATATAGAGCAGTAAGAAGAAGAGGACGGAAGGCGTTACAAAGAATTGTGGACGATATCGATATGCCGCGGAGAAGTTGAGATTGTAGTATAACTACGTTCGCTTGAGAGTACGTTGGAGCGGTAAGAGCAGACGTTGATATTGATGTCTGGGCATTATGACGCAAAGTGATATCTCGCATAGATTGAACAAGTGTGTACTCTTCATCCGTCCCATTTATACGGTCTCCTGTCTTTTCTCTGTTCCACTCGACATACTCTGTAACCAAAGCTTTGGCGATCTCTTTTACGTTTTTATAATCATTAGCCGCTCTTCCGTTGACGTCAAAAAAGTCCTTGCTAAATTCATTTCCAGTTCTTGTTTTCCTGTCAAATAACCTACTTCCGATGTCATCCTCTTCCTCATTAATCCCATATCCACCGGCACCAAGCACTATTTCGTTGACAATTAATACACACTCGGCGTGAAATCTTGGCGAGTTGTTTTGTGCAAATGAGAGAAAATGGTCAACCAGGAACGAGAGGTTACCATAATAACCAAAAAGTCTGAAAAGTGTCGAGAGTGAATGATGAACTGCCGACTGGCTAAGGTGTTTAAAAGGGATTCGAGGAAATGGAGGCAGAGAGGACGGGACCGGAGAATAAAAAATTGAGCTTGTTGATGGAAAAGCAGGAATAACTGACGATGATGCAGTAACCACTTCATTTGTTTCTAAAATTCCAGAATCTATGCCCTCTATGGCGCCGATATCTCTCTCTACTACACCAACCCTAGTTACACTCTTGTCGAATTCGACAGCAGCTAACAATCCAAACGACATTCTGACCAGACTGTTATTCAGCACGCTCTGCACGTCCCTGCCCAAGACTCTCACATGTCCTGATATAAGATCCAAGACTGTTCTCTTTGCATTTTCATCTACTCCTATAAGATATCTTGGCAGATTTGTCAGCCACTTGTCCAGATTCTCCTTCATTGTAGGAACAAACAATTGTTCAAACTTTGTCCCATGTTGATGTTGTAAAGATACTATGTGATGTCTTGTGGGGATGGACACTTCGATGTACGAGTCTGACAAGTACAGTAGTAACGTCTCGAGAAGAATGGCTAGTGATGAAGAAAGAGAATTGGAACATGATAAAAGTAGCTTATAAGAAAAGTTGGAAAAGGAAAGACGCAAGTGCGCAGACGAGTGATTACGAATAGTAAAGATTTGAGAAAGAAGTGTTTTTATTTGATACGACGTTGCCTTGTGCCATGAAGCAGTACGATTAATATACATGGGTTTTCGCTCTTCCGATTGTTCCTTTTTTAATTCACTCGAGTCGTTGGCCGTGTTGATAAATATTTTCAAATCCTGTAAATCTTCAATTTTCGTTATTATATCATCGTTCACACTATCCTTCATGACCAATATTATTATATCGCCTAATACGTCTACAATACTTGTCAGTAATCGGTGATTTTCCTTTTGACTTTCTATCAAAGTATTTCCAAGTGTGCTGACGACTCCGGGTAGATATGATGCCACAACGCTCGCATCCTCTAGACTGTTTGTTATCATTTGAAGTGTCTCCAGAGACCGCACTCTTAGCTCGAGCATTCGTTCTGCTTTAATATATTCAAGCAGAATGAATATACATCGGCCTGACACAATGCGCATTTGAGGATCGCGAAGTTCCTGTTGAAGTGACTGCTGCTGCTGACTATGAGGCGGATTAAGGGCCAGAATACATCGAAGACAGGTGAGTTTTGTATCTTCCGACAACGAGCCTATCTGACTTTTTGTGTTATCGTTATCATTAGATTTTTCATCGGATTTGTGATCAGGTGTATCGCCAGGCGTCTTGATAGATTCTTTTTGTTTGCTGGTTTTATTCCTCTCTTTGAGTTTCTCCCTTTCCTTGCTTCGTTCTGGTCCTTCAATGATACTGACAAAAAATATAAATAACTGCCGATATAAAGTCGGTGTCATGTACTGCCACCAACTGGCTTCTAGCATAACAAGCGTACATTTCAGGAATCCTTCAATAAACGCGTCGCTTCGAGGACACTCTGCAGTCTGGAATAAATGCTGCAAACAATTAAACACATATTCAATCAAATTAAGAGTTAACACATTGGAGGCATTGGAAACGGAAGCAAGAGTTGCATGAAGGGTTGATAGTAGCTGTGTGATTCGAGTGGTATTTGAGCGTGTGACAGGTACGGATTGGAGCAGAGATAGGCAGAGTGGCTTGAGCTGCTGGAAGAGAACTACTCGCTGCTCGTCTAGTTCCTCTGAGTACATAAAGAACAGACTATGTAAAATAAAGGAAAGAACACATCGAAATTTAGTTTGATTATCTTATCCTATTTAATTAGCACAATGGATCGATGCATGATCAGGCGCGGAGTATGTGATACATAATGCAATGAGTCTTGATGAAATCATATTGCGTGCTCTAAGTAATGAGCCGTACAATAATTAACGATAAATGACGCATATATTCACTCCTTCACGTCACGTATCAAAATTCTGTAGCCTTTATTCAATAATCATTACCGAATCTAAGGTAAGTTCGACTATGACGACCCGATAACTTTTATTGAAAAGGGAGCATTCCGCATAAACAGTTCAAAACTTTGAAACTAAAAACATTTCCCAATTATCCCACGTAAACTTGTCCGAACTAGATCTTATTGGAACCTCATAATAATATTTCTTGGCAATGGCAGCAGGACCGAAAAATAAATCTTGATGACCAAAGTGAGGAAATGAAGTATCGTTTTCTTGAATAGCACCATTACTAGTAGTAACAGAACTGACAATGCTTTTCTCCAAATCTTCTTTGTCTATTGAAAAGATAAAACTTTCCGTGGACGCAACCCATTTCGTGGCTGAAGGAAAGGTCCACACTATTGGATTATATCCGCCAAGAATCTCTTTAGTGCCCGCCACTTTTCCAACAGTAATTGTAGGCCCCTTGTTTCGACACTTTTCGATAAACTTTGAGAGTTCGTTACCATCCCTACTTTGTCTATATAGTAGAGTCAACTTGTAGAAATCTCTTCGATCGATTGGCGCTCTTTGACGTCCTTGACGTTTGGTTGATTCCATAATTTTCCGCGAGATCCACGCTGCCTGTTGCTTGTTGAGAATCTCCGAATCAATACTAGGCAATTGACTCTTCCGCAATGGTGACATTCTTGCAGTTGGTTTATAGTCTTGCAACACATAGTATTTGAATACATCTGAACGTAATTCTCTTGGTAATAACTCGACGTATGGAATAACAGTCTCGCTAAAATCCTTGGAGGAAAAGTTAAAGAACCTCATATACTTTATGCAATCCCCTATGATGTCTTTGATTGCATCAACTTGGTTCGAAGACCAGTTGTTCGGATCATTCGCAAGTCCAGGAACCTGTCTAACGGCCCATCGCACTACTGACATCCATATGTCACCTTCATCCATGTTTAAATCGTCACTTTTCAGAAGTTCAATCAATATACCCTTTGATCCAATATCATCACATTCAAAGAAAAGCTTTGGAAATAAAATCATAAGTTGAAAGCAATGATTCTTGAGATTTTCTAATGCTGGTGGCTCCATCATCAAAGCAAACTCGTAAACTTTGAGAATATTTTTTTGTAACCATTCGTCTTGTTGAAGAATCAAGTAACGTCCAATTTCATCAATTAGATCTTTGAGTGCAAACTTGTTGGCTTCCTTCAAAAGATCAAGCCAGTTTATGCCTTCACATGATTTACAAAGCACTTTCCCGGTGTAGATGAATCTTTAGAATAATATTAATATCGTAAGTATTAAAGATAATAATGGTGCTATCCAAATTGCTATTAAATTAATATTTACCGGAGTAAAATTTCAAAGACATTAGGCGTCACGTCTTCGAGTACAATAGTTGGTCGCTGGACATTGTTAGATTCAACAGAGTGTTCGGTTATTCTACCTTCAAGATATGTGCTTCTCGTGCACAATACCACTGTATGCGCGACAAATATTTTGTCGTTCGGTTCTCTCCCGACATGAACTAGAATATCAGTATATTTTTCACTTTCATAGAGCTTTTCATAGTCAAGAGAAAGACGAGAAGATAAATCGACTACGACAGCGTCGGCGTTATTCATTTTGGAAAATTGATCTGCATGAGCCTATTGTATTTCTTTATATGGAAACTGTCGTTACAAAGTTATTTGGGCACCACAACACTCATTGCATAAACGAATTCAAATGCAGTTTCAGTTAATGCCGAGGTTCTTACGTAAAAGGATGAGTTCGAAGACTATAAATTACTTCAGATCGCTTACCCCATGGATGAGCTTAACATTAGAACAACCATTCACGTCGCATGTCGTTGTCCCGATTATAATAACCGGATTACCTAATGTCATGAAAGTTGGAGTGCAGTTTCATATACGAATGACGGGATCCGTCCACATCGCCTTTCACTGGTATGTACAGATTTTTTATTTGTTTCCCCTGAATGCTTAAAGCAATTCATAAATATGCTCGGTTTATTTGGACAACAGACGGGTGCTTTGAATTATTATGTACCCGACATTATTCAGGCGAAAAGAGCTGACTCGGAAAAGATTGCGGAATGGATGATGATGTACTGCAATGGTCAGCCTCGTATTCAACAATCATTGAGAAAGACCCTTAACCCAGGAACAATGTTATTATTGCCCAGCCTCTCACCTAGTGGCTATAAATGATGGTGCAGACCAAAATTATTTCGCCAGTTGATATGATCCTTGGCGTATGTGGTTGGTACTGTACACTTGTATATGACAATTTATTTTCATTGTTTAGGATGTGCATTGTTCATCGCTCACGTAATACTGCGAATAAACGCTAAGGCTGATGGGATCTGCTTTTATTGCGTCTCCCGGATTCTTGACCGCATTCTAGTCAACAAGTAGCTATCGCATAAACGGGAGGCATTATTTTGCCGCCAGTTATTTCACTGACGGAATTATTTTAAAGTTATCCTTCTTGGTAGTTTTTGTCGGTGAAATGAATCGGACCCGTGTAAACAATGTCATTCAATGTCCAATAAAGTTGAGCAGAAAAAAAATCGGTTTAGGGTATGAAAATAATATCAGAAAACACGAATTATTCGAATTGACAATTACGTTTACCATTCAGTAACGGAGCTCGCGCATTTATTCAAGCATCAAAACCCAGGATTAGTTTCACATAATTGGTTCTCAATATTTACGTTTAATGAATATGTACTTTGTATTTCTTACATCTACCCGCAACGACAGCCAGCAGCAAATGCGCACAATTTATTTCAACATCTCGTATTAAGAGCAAAAACCCACGAATAACAAATTATTCAAAGCGCGTTTGGGTCACTAAATCATAAGAAGTAGACGATGTTAATATGTAAATTGACTTCATTAATAACCAATTGTTGTCTTCATACCTGAACTCAATTGACATTTCGCAACTATTTCCTGGTTTAGGCAAATCTCCAGTAGGTAAGAGTTTACTAGAGTATTTACTCTCTTTCTCGAGACGTGATAACGGCTTTACATCATTATGATA